GTGGCTCGATTCCTTCTATGATTTGGTATGTTCTAATTTGTGACAAGCTATTTAGTCACCCGAACTTTTATCTTTTTCATTTATACCTATTTATAGAAATTATGTTGGGTGAAATTAATTAAAAATTTATGACATTTGCTCTTTTAAAACAAACTCTCGTAGAATCAAACACTTTCCACTGATTTTTTATTATTTAAAAAGTCAATTAAATTATGATTGCCAAACAATAAAAGAAAATCAATTAATTAGTTTAAAAATTTTAAATAATTATACATTATAAAATAAAATAAAAAGATTCATACAAATTTTAGTTAGTTACAGCAATTTAATATTAAAAAAATTATATATATTTTATCCTTAAAAATTAAAATTATCAAAAACTAATTTATTTAATATTACGGCTGATATAAATAATTCAGTCTAGCGTTTATTTTACTAATTCTTTTTTTGAGCTTTGACCGCTTTATCGTACTTTAAAAATAATATTAATAAATAAATATCGCAATTATCTTTATTTGTAGAGGTTCGAGAATGCAAAATTGTGAGCATTTTTGTTTTAATTCTCATATTCTTCAACTTATTTATCCATTGTTTATTTTAGAATATTTTCATTGAAGTGAGGGATGAGAATTTGTTTGATAATGATTTATTCTCTTACTTTTATTTTGAATATTCATTTTATGATAAGTTTTTTTTTATTCTCTTTTATCCTCTATTTGGAACAAAATAATATTAAATAATATTTACGAAAACTTTCAAAATACATTTCTAAGTTAAAGGTGATTAAAATTACAAAATTTTAATTTTAATTCGATAAATCACATCCCTTTTTTATAGAATTATTGAAATTAAATTTTACATTATGTTCGATAATACATTTTATGTTTCAAATTCTTTAATCGTGTAATAAATTTATTATTTTAAATTATTTTTAAATTATATGATTCAAATAAGAAAATTGTGGTTCAGTTATTTAGTTTTTGAATTTTTAAATTTGTATTTATTTGTTCCCTAAATTTTGAAAAGGTATTTTTTGAATTTTTATTTCCCTATCAAGACATTCCATAAACTAAGAAAATGTGTAATAAATAATTTGGAAGATACAAAATTAAATTTTATGTTTAGCATGCTTATGAATTAAAAAAAAAACATCCAAATATACTATTTTATGAATTAAAAATATGAACCAAATAAACACAAACAACAAATTTTAAAATATACTATTTTATAAATTATATTGTACAATGAAACAATAATCATACAAAATTTAAAACATAAAATATGTTCATAGACTAATAACTAATAACACGGTTCAAATTAACAAAAATTCAAAAGTTGCTACCAAATAAATATTATAAACAATTCTAATTTATTTTCTACTTTTCAGTCATTAAGTGGCCGTTTATTTTCAAAATAAAATACTATTTTTAAGATCAAAATTTAGAATTATTTGATAGCAAGATTATATACTGGTTATATACATTCAAATGAAATATGGCCCAATAAAGCCCACCAAGAAGTCGAAGTCCATGTATTGGGCCACAAACAAGCATAGCCAATAAGTAAATTGAATTATTAATTAGAAAAAAACATTTTTCAATTCCACGATTACTAATGGCACCCAGGATAGGGTCCGGAGCAAGCAAAGAGAACAGACCTACTTCAATCAGGTTACGTACGGTGCGTGTTCTTCAAACAAATAGCTTTAACATAACAACAAACAACAAAGAGGAGTGGTGGCAGGGCAAAGAATAGGTGGAGATTAGGATAAGGCTGCCCATTGAAATTTCGATACGTCATTATATAGTAACAATAAGGGTATTCTGTGAAATTTGATTTAACTACAAGGACCAAATAAAAAAATTAAAAAAAAAAGATCATGACGCTAAATTGAAATCTATCCAACCTTGGTTGTACTAATTAAACTATGTAACGGCTCTGGCTGTGTTGTGTGCGCAAGCAGAACCAACATAAGAACTCTCAGGTTCCCTTGTTCTCATGCGAATTGAATTATCACCATGATTCACCATGATAAAACGTTAGATAATTAATTAAATTCTCTCTTTGAAATCCCTCAACCCTTCTCCTTGAAAAGTTCGCAATCCCTCTCTTCAAACCTGTTGAAGCATTCATTGTTTGCTTTCACTTGGGATGGTTCTAAGTAAGTCATAGGTTGAGTTATTCACTAAACAACTATTTTGTTGGGCAATGGGCAATCAAACAGAGGCTTACCTATTGGACATCCACACAAATGCAGTTTAGTTCACACCATGGCATGGCAGCCACATTGAGTAAGGTTAGGGTTCTAAAATACGGTGATAAGCTGCTAATGAGCGCCTAGGTACACCCAAGTTCTCTGCCTGCACCCACTTTCTTGACAAGAAAAGGTAAAACAACTATAACGACAAGCTACGACATCCCACTGGCAATTGACAGATTATTCAGTTAGGACAATTATCTGTATTGAAGAGTCTCACAAAGAATGTCCTCTTTTAGAACATATAGTTCTGTAGAATTGTATGATTATGAACTGTGTGTGTGTAGTCTCTCTACTAGGGTAAGCTAGGAAATTTTGATAATTGTCCATTGTAAATGAGGGTCAGTTATGAATTGTATATTTGAGCCATACATATTTATGAATTGGCTCTACCAAACCTAATCAAGCTACACCAACTTCGGGTCCAATTTTTGTTCTTCAGTCTTCTAACCTCTTTCCAATTCCCCCATTGTGTAAACAATGGTTGAAGTAACAAAATCGATTAAATAAAGAGCGAGACGGACTTCGGCAGAAATATTCTATCTATAAGAAAATATTTTATCAGATTTCTATAAACCCAAACGTTATTGAAGGCAAGGGGTAAATGATATGGTGGAAAATATGAACTAGCAACGTTTCAAGAATCTAAAGGCGAATACTGATAACAATCATAACTTCATTAAGGAGTGGAAAATCGTGATATGTTAATGTAAATAGTTTCCATAAATCTCTTGACTTCGATCAATTACTTGAAGAATGTCTATCAAGCTCGCTTAAGTTCTTCAAAATAAGAGGTAAATGCCATGAATATGTGGATAAACTGCTAATCCACAAACATGATGCCTGCCAGTAAACTCATTCTATCCCGAACTACTTTAAACTTCAGTGTAGAAATGATTCAACAAAAATATCATATGAACTAAATTTCAGTTGCGCAAATATAATAATAGGTCTTTAAGAACACTTATGTCCGCAATCTTAACAAATTCAAAGTAAATGAGCATTAAAGTTATAAATCGAAAGAACCTCAGAACCCTAGCTTGGTGCGACGCCAGTGCCTGCGCTTTGCATTGTATCTGAAAAACAATCGACAGTAGAACGCCAGAATGTAAGACTCAAAATCAGATCAAAGACTTGAAAAATGGCGATTCAAATGGCGCAGGCTTAAAACCTGATAGTATTGTCGGTTCTCAGACGGATCCAGTGCGGGATAGGCCTGTTCTGCCTCATCTTCTTCGCGAGCTTTTTCTTGATTCTGAAAGTCTTGTGAGACGGCTGCGAATTGAAAGAGATGAGAAAATCGAATCACAAACTGTCACAGTTTCAATCATCAAATGGAGAAAGACGAACTGCAATAGATTAGCGGAAACAAGAAGTTCAGAGTTCAGAGAGTTGAATAACAATACGTACCATCTTCGAGTCCGGTGTTCCGCGGCGAACTTGGAAGCAGACGGCGGTCTAACGAAAACCCTATCAGTATCGAACAAGTTTTTATATGCTCCACCGAAATGGACAATCGAGATATGCCCGCGGGCAGCCCAACCTCGTAAATGGGCTTGCAGTTGAGCCCAAACTTTTCCCACTCTTACAAGTTAATTGGACCAACATTTGAAACTCATGGCCCACAAGGTAGAGCCAAGCCCATCAGTTATTATTATTGTTTTTTTAATATTAGAAATATTGGTTGAATTAAATGATTTATCCTTAATTGATATATACACAAACATGCACAATCTTAGTCATATCACGCTTCAAAGATACCGTAATAGCCCAAGCCCACTGCTAGTACATATTATTTACTTTGGCCCATTACGTATGGCCATCAACCTCACGATTTTAAAACGCGTCTACTAGGAAAAGGCTTTTGCACCCTTATTAAGGGTTTTATTCCCTTCTCCAATCGATGTGAGATCTTACCGTCCACCCCCTTTGGGGTCAGCATCCTTGCTAGCCACTCTGTTACCATTTGTAACAGCTCAAGCGCACTGCTAGAAAATATTGTCCGTTTTGGCCTTTAACATATGACCGACAACCTTAAATTTTGTCTGTTCTAAAACATGTCTACTAGGTAGAGACTTTCACACTCTTATAAGAAGACATTTGTTTCCCTTTGCAACTGATGTGAAATCTCACATATACGTTCGACGTGTTTAGTAGCACATTGTACATAGCTCCACACCGTAAAATTAGCTCACCAGTTATGAATTTACTTACTATTTGATTTCGGGTTGGAAATGTTTTTGTCGAAACGCTCAAATTTAACTCGTATACCGCATTTGAATTGAGCTCAAAAGATAAGAACGCTTCAAAGTCAATCTAGAAATGCAACTATAATGACACCGTTTGATGAAAAATAATCCGAAACAAGTTCAATACAAAATATTTGATCAAATGTCTAGTTGAACAGATAAATTACTAGACTCCAATGAAGATAATCTTCTCGCAATAGAATATTTACACAAACATGTAATGACACAAAAAAATATATATTTATAATCTGAAACACGACACTCAAAATCACATGAAACGTGTTAAATAATACCCAACAAAAATTTATATCAAAATTTAATAAAATAAATAAATATATTTGGTACAAGTTCAAGACATGTGAACTGATTTTTTTGGTCTTTTTATAGGAGTTTTGAAACTTGAACTTACCTATATCAGCAAAGCCAAAACGCCCAACAACCAACCGGTTGGGACAAGGCCAAAAAAGAAGAGTTGATTGATTTTTAAACACACTCGTGAGACCCACTTGATATCAAATTGCTTGCCAGAAAGGCTTCACAAAAATGGCTCCGCGATTGCCGTTTTGTCAGCAATGACCAAAGATAAAACCACCCATTTTGTTCTCTGCCAACAACTATCAATTTTGTGCTCTGTTTTTCTTTGAGGCATTTTCACAAACACCTTGTGAGCAACAAAAGTTCCGCTATGGCCAGACCTCAAAGGCAATATCGTGGCGTAAGACAAAGGCATTGGGGCTCTTGGGTCTCTGAAATTCGTCATCCTTCGTTGTCGGTCTCTCGTTTTTTACCTTGATTTTTTGGTGTTTTTTTAAGCCAATGTAATGAAATTGGACTGTTTTTACAGGAAGACGAGGATTTGGCTTGGAACATTTGAAACGGCGGAGGATGCAGCGAGGGCTTATGATGAAGCGGCGAGATTAATGTGTGGACCAAACGCAAGAACGAATTTCCCGTACAATCCGAACACGATTCAGTCGTCGAATTCCAAGATTTTGTCGGCCAATTTGACTGCGAAATTGCATAGATGTTATATGGCTTCTTTGCAGATTAGTAACCAGGAGTTTAAAAGAGAACTTCCGCCGCCGTTTGCGACGGCGTCTTATGCCGATGCGGCGAGATCGATGGTGGAGGAGAATCGACCCACGGCGGCCGAGGCGGCGGAGCAAGAGGAACAGAAATTGTTGGAAGATGATCACATTGAGCAAATGATCGAGGAGCTTCTTTATTATGGATCCATGGAGTTTTGTTTGTGAGACGAATTTTTTTGAGGTTTATAACGTGTTAGCCCGCCATGGATTCCATGTATCAAATTTTAATTCTCTTTTTTAAAAAATATATTCTTAATTTTGTCCAAAAATATCTATTTTCATCATGTTTTTTTTTTATTATTATTTTTACTTTTATAAAATATGCATTTCAATTATTAAACTTTTTTAAATTATTATTTTAATTTTTTTCTTTGTTGTAGCTTTATTTTATTTTATTTTTCCATGAGTTTACAATCATTAATAATTTGAATTTTAATATAAAATCAACACGACATTAATCATTGATGTGATTATTATGAGTAAAAGTTTTTATTTTATTGTGATATTAAATAATATATATCACAAGCCAATTGAAAGCTTTTAAATTTATCTAAATAATTGATATTTTATTTATTTAGGATCGATATTGATTCATTTGTACATTTATATTATAAATAATTATCAATTCGAACAAAATATTATAATTTATCCAAAAAAAAATTGGATATTTGAATTCTCATATTCTATTTTATTTTTTACTTTTTTTTTATTAATTATTCTAACTTTTATTTTCATTATGCTATATTTGCAAGAAAAATAAAATAAAAATAATGTTGGCCCATTAGCTCTAGAATCAGCAACATAATCGGCCCAGCCCAACTATCGATTTTTTTTTTTTTTTTTTTTTTTTAATTTAAGTTTCAAACTATTGGGGAGAGAATAAGCTATAAGTGACGTACTATTATAGAAGGTCTAGAGTTCGAACTTTATATCGAGATCTACGAGTCAGAAGAAGGTCTTGGGTAGGCTGTTTTTTATGGGGTGTAGGTCTCTCGAAAGCTATTGGAGGAGTGAAAACGTTTCCTAAGCTAGATTGAGATTGACCCTCAGAATATTAACTACAATGTCCGACCAACTACAACCTGCAATTATATGTCCTATTGATTGTATTTATTAATGGTTTGAATTCAACGTACACCGCGTAGATTTCCTTGTTATTAAGCAAATGTGACCTTATATTTATGCCAACTTTGAATTTTATTAAAACCTTTTTTCATTATTCAAAATTATTTATTTCTAGTGTTTTTTATTCTACTCGGTTAAAATTTTATTTTATTTTTTTGTATCGATTTATAATATAAATACCAAAATAAAATTCTTAATTTAGAGCTTTGGATTATTTAAGATTGTAAACTAATTATTAATTAAAATCTTAATTCAATTTAATTTTTTTTTAAATGATTAAAATATATTTTATTGTAAGTGCATAAGATATATATATATATATAAGTTATAAATTTTGTTGCATTAAATTATTATATACAAAATCACAATAACTCAATTAAAATTATTAAAAGACAATGGTCGTGTGTCACGTTGTCAAGGATTCATTTCCAAATCTCTGCAATTTCCACTTCTTCACAGCCCCACCAATGTCCGCCGTCTTCTCTTCCTGCTTCCGCCCCTCCGACGATCGCCGCCGCCGCTCTCCGCCGCCAATTCCCAGCTCCCCGAATCTCACCACCTGCATTTACCGCACCAATTCCGGTCTCTTTTCTCTCTCTTGGTCGCAATCCCTCTTCTCTCACTCCCTTCTCCTCCACTTCCACCAAAACCCAAATGCCTTCGATTCTTCAATTTCTTTTCACCTTCTCATTAAACCTCTAATTCCATGGAAGAAACACGGCTCCGAGAAGCTCTCCGACGGTATCCACGTCCAATGGGACCTACGGCGTGCTCGTTTCTCCGCCTCGCCGGAACCCCACTCCGGATTCTTCATCGCCGTCGTAGTCGACGGCGAAACGATTCTTCTCGTCGGCGACATGATCAAAGAAGCCTACGCGAAGACAAGAACAGCTAAGCTCCAAAACCCACAAGCCCTAATCCTGAAAAGGGAACACGTGATTGCGCACAATATCTACACCACGCAGGCGAAATTCGGCGGCCAAATCCGAGAAATCGAAATTGACGGTGGCTTCTACGACGGCGAATCAGGGCTGTCGTTCAGCGTCGACGGGAAATGTGTTCTGCAAATCAAGCGGCTGAACTGGAAATTCAGAGGAAACGAAAGAATCGAAGTGGCCGGAGTTCCGGTGGAGGTGTATTGGGATGTGTACAATTGGGTTTCCGATATGGGGAAAAAAAACAGAGGAAATGCAGTGTTCATGTTCAGATTCGAAGAGGAAGATGAACAGATGAACAGACAGCAGAATTGGAACCTAGGATTGAACCAATTGGTCGGTTCTATTTCGGTATCAATGTCGTCGGTCGGATCATCCACCGGAGCCAGTTCATCCGTCATGGAATGGGCTACCGGTGAAGACAGCGATCAAATCGGAGCTCCGGTAGGATTTTCTTTACTGATTTACGCATGGAGAAGGTAAAAATCACAGCTCATTCATTCTTCAATCTTCGATCTTGATCTCGTTTTTTCCGACCAGATGAGAAAAAATGTAATGGATCTTTGTCGTGTTCCTGTTTTAATGGGGACAAGAAAAATGGGTACTGAAACTGAAAGAAAGTGGCCGACGCCATTAATGTTCCGTTGGGAACAGTGAAGAAGAAGAAGGTGGGGGAAAATTATAATTCCTTAAAATTTTCTATTATTTTATTTCTATTTGTAACGCATTTGGGTAATTAACAGAATATAATAATACTATTTTACTTTTTAATTTAAAGTGATTTTTTTTTTTTATGTAATAATTTATTTATTTATTTTGATAAAAAAATTGAAATGCAGTCAATCCCGTGAACGACTACTCGACTACAACTGCTTTTCTATGCCTTTGATTTTAGTAAAAAGTATTTAAAGTTTTATACCCACGTTTTTTTTAAAGCGTATGTTGGAATAAGGAATCTTATATTCCTTTTCCCTTTATTTATTTATTTTTCAATTGAAATTTCGTTTATATTTTCTTTTTCAAAATTTTATTAAAAAAAAGCGGAAAAACTAATGAAGACCGTTAATTCCCTTTCATATTCGTTAAATAATAAAAATATAATTTCAAATAGTTAAATAATATAAATATTAGTTCAAACGGGAGCTTTCTGTGTCTCCGTTTCAATCTCCACCTTTTATTTTAATCTCTATAATTGTGAAATTTTTTATTTATTTTTGTTGCTCGTGAAAACTTCCAAATTTAATACTAATATTTTAAAAAATTTAGTTTCACAAAATATTTTAATGAATAATTTTTTTAAAAAAATATTTTAATAAATAATTTTCATTTTTCAATATAAATATGTCCTATAAATCTCTCCAGGCTTCCTTCACACTTTTTTTTTTTTTTTTTAGAATTTCTTGCTTATTTTTAAATAAACTAAAAAATTTAACGGCCACCCAAAACCAACAATAACCTTAAACTTTAATTAAAATATTTGATAAAACTATGGGGATGAATGGTTTCAAGTCAAATTATACATATATGACCACAATTACAGCTCTTAATATAATATAAGCATATATTAATTAAAGCATTAATTTTCTCTTACCAAATGTAACGTTAGGTTTGAATTGCCACAATTACAGCTCAGCTGAAATAACCAACTNAAAAAAAAAAAAAAAAAAAAAAAAAAAAAAAAAAAAAAAAAAAAAAAATATATATATATATATATATATATATATATACATATATTTACTATAATAACTATTTTTATAAAATTTTGAGTTGGAGTTATCCCAATTAATAAAAATATATAATATTTTTCGTTTATAAACCAATTATATATACATATATTTACTATAATAACTATTTTTATTTATTCTATAATCAAACATATATTATATATTAAAATTTAACTTTTTATAAATAAACATTTAAAAACATTCATGTTCATTATTTAATAAAAATTATTTAAATTGATCGAACCTAATTCAGCTCACGAACACTGACTGCATAAGGAAACGTCAAATCAAAATACCCATTTCCATTAAAATCTACTTCTTCTTCTTCCAACTTCTAAATCAAAAGCGCTTTTGTAATTCAACAATATATTATCACACAATAAAATCACAACACACACAATGCCATTATGAACACAAATTTCTTTTCCTTTCTTTGTTTGTTTGTTTTAGATTAGTAGGAGCAGAAGACCAACAGAGAGGCAAAATGATGAAAATCATGCTATTTTGCCTGTCTTCTGTTGTTGATTATACTCTTAAAATGCCCTATAAGAAACACTTACTGTTACAGCTTCAGAGTCAGAGGTGCCGATGTCGAAGAATTTATCACCGTCGACGATGCTGGGAGGCATCGTTTCTGTCTATTTACTTTGACGGTTGTAGTTGAAGGTTTCGAAGGGTTAGTAGAAGATGAAGCATTATTACACCCATTTGACTGGATTTTCAGTTTCTTCTTTATACCTTCGTTGAACTTCTCTCCCGATCTTACTTGCCGAACTTTTGATTCGTTCAAACTCGCTGGAAGAACACAGTTGCAGAAAAGACCTGGAAATACAAAAACATATCGAACCAATGTCACCAATTGTTGTAAGTTTCAATCTCAGTAGAAGGAACAAAATGAAACGCTCGTAACGTTATCACTTCGTTAATTAGTGGATCGAGCTCATTAGCCATGCCATACTCTAAATTATGCAGGAGAAGCCAAGATTTTCATAAGATCAGGCATAGATAGAATCGCAATGGTTATGTTATGATGGGCAGTTTGTTTGTAAACTAGCTATCGTCATCGATGAAACATTAACTACAAGCAGGATGCTAGGCAATCAAAATTTAAGCATAAGAATCGATCTTACCGAGTCGAGCAAGTCGGTTGACCCAGCTAGGGATTGGTTTTCCGACCAACTTCACACATGCGTCGTTGCAGAAGTGGTTGCAATTTTTTGTTATGAGATGATAAGTGTTCCCAGAGTACTCTTCAGCTAGTTTCTCCATGAATGAGCGGACATCTTTCGGACCAAGATTCGTTCTTCCGATGCAAATCGATTTCCTAAATGTAAAACCAGGACATTGCCTTGGTTCTACCTCAAATATCCCTGAAGTTGCATGGTCATGAGCTCCAAATGCATATTCAACTCCATGAACTGCAAAAAGATCCATCCCAGTTCAGAGTTTTTAATTTTGAACAGCTTGTTCTTGATAGAATAAATTAAACAATCAAACTCCATTGAAAACATTGACTGTTCAAATCATCAAAAAAACTCTGAAAAGGTCGAACACAAATGAAACTGATTATGGTCAATAGAAAATCATGAAAATAATTGGAAATATGAAGTAACTATGAGTTTTTCCAAACATCAATTCATCAATATCGCAGCCAAATCAATCTACAGCCATTACAGAATGATATTTCCTCAAACTAAACAGTAAACTCACAACCAAAACCAAAAGAATCTTACAGAACCGTCATAAAACCTCGCTATGTTCTTCAAATTTCTCAAGAATCACGAATTTCATCTAAAAACAGAGCGAGTTCAACCTCAGATCTGAAGGAAAACGCAATGAAGAATCAAGAAAAATGAAAAAATCAGTTCAGAAATCCCTCAGTCTAAACGAAAAAACGTCTGAAAGAAACCAAAAATCCTCATCGTTGCCGTTCAACAACAACATGCCAAAAAGTGAAGAAGAAGAAGAAGAAAACCGCCATAAATTGTCTAACCTTGAACACCGGAATGGTAAACCCCTAGACCGAACCAATACGCGTAGCCATTGATCGGCGTTAGATCATAAACATTCAAATAAACCGGCACCGTTCCACTCTTCTTCTTCTTCGACATCAAGGCCATTCTACGCAACATTTCCACCATACTCACCGCTTCTTTACTCCGCCCCTCCTCCTCTAAGTCTCTGAAATCAAAATCACACAAAACCGTAAGATTCAAACCAGAGGAATTTAGTTAAAGAAAATCAAAATTGAGAAACCGGAAAGGGAAAAATTAGGAGGAAAATTATTCGTTACCAACAAAAAAACAGAACGAACTGGAAAATCAATCGTCAGTGAATTGAGAGAATAACAGGGTTCGTTCGTCGGGCTTCGGGACGAAGAATTATCGAGCAACGGGCCTCAGATTTATCGGCAGCCGAAACAATTCTCTCACGCCGATCTTTTCGTCATCCTCGTTCTTCTCCAATTTTTTTCCCCTTTTTTTTTATAACACATTTAATTTTTTTTTTTAATTTTCATTTTATTTTATTTTTTTAATGAGAATTGAGATTATTTTGTGGAGGACGGACAGATGGCCCCCAACTCATCCAGAACTGAATCCTAAACTCTCAATTTCACCTCTCAATTAATAGAAAAACTAATTATTAATTATCCATTTCCTTTAAATTTTCTAAATTTATTGTTTTTGTTGATTTTTTTAATTATAAATTTATATATTTGCAAAAAAAGAAAAGGAAAAAAAGAAGTTGTTAATTATTGAAATAATTACAATAATTACTGCTTTATATTATTATTCTTTTGTCTTTACATATAATTTTTTTTTTAATGATAACCTCACTTTCTCGGTCATAAAATTTGCAGTAGACATCGTTGAAATAATGCGTAATAATTCTCTGATCGAGTGCTCTTGCGTCGAAGATGAATAGAACTGAGCCATTTACTGGAGCTACGATATGTAAAAATGCGTTGATAAGAAAGTGTTCCCCTCAAAAGAGACACCCACACGAACATACAAAATGAGGTTTATAGTAGCCATTGTTGAAGTAATAATTCGCTAATCAAGTGCTCTTGCATCGAAGATGAACGGGAACCGAGTGATTTATTGAAGCTACGAGATGTAAAAATGCATGGATAAGAGAGTCACGCTCATGAGAGAAACACCCACACGAACAGAGAACACAAGGTTTGCAATAGTCAACGTTGAAGGAGCACGTAATAATTCACTAATGAAGAGCTCTTGCGTCGAAGATGAACGAAATCGAGCGATTTACTAAAGCTACGAGATGTAAAAATACACTGATAAGAGAGTGTTGCACTCAAGAGAGAAACACCCACACGAACAAACAACACGATATTTGTAATAGTCATCGTTGAAGGAGCACGTAATAATTCGCTAATCAAGTGCTTTTGCGTTGGTGATGAACGGAACCAAGTGATTTATTGAAGCTACCCGATGTAACAATGCACTGATAAGAGAGTGTTACGTTCAAGAGAGAAACACCCACACGAACAATAATAAACGAAGCAGAAGCGAGAATGTGAGTTCGGTAATGCACAAAAAACAAAAAAAAAAAAACCATTTAGTCTCTATCCACGAAGAGCGAGTCAAGATCTAAGATCAGGTAGAAAAGACGTTATCGATGAACAATAATTGAATATTCCTATACTGCCCTTTATTTGTCAGATTTATATATTCTTTTTATTATTAGTGTCTATTGGAATAAAAATTTGGTGATGGGAATAAAGTGAATGAAGATATTTTAAGTGGAATAGATAGAGCTACAGAAAATTGCACACTTTTTCATACCCATTCTACGGAACAAAGTTTTTATTTTTTAATTATCTGATATATTTGAAATATATATTTTTTTTAAACTTTTATAGAGCTGTCTTCTTGTTTTATTTATAAAAATTATTCATTTTGTTCCCATAGCATACACGTTTTAATACTGTGAGGCCGACGATGATACATAACGAACTAAAATGGACTATTATAAATTGTATCAGAGCCAGACATCAGGTAGTGTGCTAGCGAGTACGTTGGGTCGGGTGTGGAAACCCAACAAAAACAGAACTAAATACCGAGCGGTGTGCGAGTGGGGGACGTTAGGTCAGGTGTGGAAACCCAGTGAAGACGTTGGTCCTAAAGAATGGGTTGTGAGATCCCACATTGGTTAATCTCTCCCTAACGATATATGAAATTGTAAATCCATCTTTCGTGTCAATATCCAACATTTTCTAGTGCACTAACGTGTATGTGTGTATGTGTCGGGATTGTGAAGTTAAATTAAATGAGAACACGACATGTCACATGGCACGAAATTTTTCTATGGCCATGCACCCATTTTCATACTTGATCTTCATGCTTGGTTGTTGAGTAGCATGCTCTATTCATCTCCTCACGCTTGAAAATTTTCACACCAACAAAATTCCCCTTTTTCGATCCTTATTTGTCTCACTTATCCATCCCCTCATTATTATTATTATAAACATTGTAAATGAAAAATAGGATAGTAAATAAATAAATTAATTAATTAATAAACAACCACTTATTGGAATAATAGGTTATTGGGCTACACATTGCTAATATGGGCCGGCCCACATCCAGGTTCCAAATGTCCAAAGGCCCTATTTCGGAGTTGGGCCGTTAATTTAAACTATGGAGAAATTGGGCCGTATGGCCGAAATAAAAGCCCAATTTTGAAAAACATCCAAAATACAAAAGCCGTCTGATTTATGGGCATATGAGAGAAAGAATCTTTAATACTTTCCCGTTGTTTCGTACGGCTCATATCGCGTGACAAGGCTATTTTGGGAAGAGAGAGAATGTATAAATCATATTTCAAATTTATTTCTATTTAAAATTTTAATATAAATTAATTTTAAAATTATTATCTAATCTAAATATAAATTTTATTTCTTTTTACCTATTTAAATTTCTAGATTTTATCTTTGAACTATTAAACTACGCGTGTATATATATATATATATATATATATATATATATATATATATATATATTTTTTTTTTTTTTTTAATTAATTTTTTTTTGTCAATTAATTACAACTAAAAATTACTAACATTAAATGTGTATGAGAACCTACCTTGAAACAAGCCAAATGTGGTGGCCCATCAGTGCCATGTCTACGTGGTCCATCGAGATTTGATGGACAAAGAACAAAATGAATGACTACTATAGAGATTATTGTGAACCTCATAACGATTTTGGTCATAAGAGCATATCACTCCGTGATTACAAACCCTAATTCAGGGGTCCTAGTCTTAACTTTTGGAGACGAGATATCTTCTAAGTTTTTAAAAGGTATCTCGAAGTAAAAATAGATAGAAGACAAGAGATACTGGTCTCATAAATATAAAAAAACTCGGTTAACTTTTATAAGCTTATATTATGTTTTTCTAATTTTTTATCTTGAAAAAAAAAAAATCAAAATTGTGTAATCTTATTTCCAGTTTGAAGTTTAGTCCGTATTTTACTGATTTTAAATTTTATTGTCTTATGTATTTATATAAACAAAAATAAAATAAATGCTCGTTTTACATCACTTTGCTTCAAGTAGTTTTTTCTAAGACATTATTTTGAATTACAATTTTAATTACAAAGACTAAATTTAATTTGTTTATCCATTGCGAAATTGATCTCTTAATTTTCTCTGCTTAACTCAAACGGTGGAAGCCACCGCTATTTTAAACAATCGCCCATTGCTTCTGCAGTTCATCGATCAGGTCCGGCAGTTGTTTCTCCGGCAAGATCACCGTTACCGTCCGGCCACCGCCGGGTGTACCGTCGCAACGTGGCGGCCCTGGAAGCACCAAAACGACGCCGTTTTCACCGACTCCCCCAATTTCATAATTCACATGAACTGGCCTCTGTCCTTCCAATTCCAAGCCGTAGAGATTCGCTTCTTCCAAATCAACGAACGTCAATCTTGCGCCGTACGCTATGAAGTCAGATTCCTCCCTTTCTTTCTCCACCAATTCCTTGATTTCTTCGTCCTCGTCAATTTTCTTCTTCACAATCAGCTCCGCCAACGCACCTTCCTCCGCTCCGGCGACCGGAAAATCGGCCTCGACGGCGCTCATCACCATTCCATTCCTCGGAATCTGACCCTCTCTATCAGGACATTTAGTCGAATAGATCGATATCGTCTTTGAATCCGAGTCCTCAAGCCGTATTTTCGACAGACATTTCCAGAAAATCGCAGCAATAGCTTCAAAACTCGAGTAGTTCGCCGATCGATTCCGGTCGACGACGCTCAATATTCGTACCAGTTGCTCTTCCATGATTCGAAACGATCGCTTAGCCATTTTGCAGTCGTTTGAAGCGATCCAAAGGTCGCCAGTCGAGTCCAGCCGCTTGATCGGCGATGTAGATCGTCCAGTTGAGCCGGACGGCCGAATGAGGTCCGCCGCAGTTGCCGGCAGTGGGCGGAGTCGTTCGACCGGGCGGTTTTTCATGACGTGACCCCATGCGTTGATGAAGGTGGAGGCGGAGAAAATATCGCCGAGGACGTGAGCCCAACTGAGGCCGACGGAGAGTCCGCCACACCTGAACCGAGTCAGCTGCACGCAGCCGAAAGCCACTCTCTTTAATTTACATTTAATTTTTTTTAATTTTATAATTTTATTTACTAAAAACATTATCAATTAGATTGCTTCTGATTTTCATTAATAGTATTTTTCTTTAGTTTAACGGAGGTTGGACGGATGATTCTTTCCGTCAATTATTAATATTTTAATAATTTATTTTATTCTTTTAAAGTCCATTTATATCACGTGAGATTTCAACAACTTCAAATTATTGGTGGAGAAATTGCGCAAACCTCAGAATATTTTAAATAATAATAAAAAAGTCAATGGCAATATTTCACGGTTCATATAGTTCAGGCTGTCACATTCATAATTAATCGTTCCATTTCCAAATTTATCTTATTAATTAAAATAAGTTAAATATAATTAACTCTATAATACCTTTTGTCATCGAGCAATTGATTAAAGTATGTGTACTTTCATTATTTAGTTAATTAATTTTTTGTGACATTTAATTCAGTTATAAAAAAAAAAATTATTCTTACCATCAAAAAAAACATTTAATAACCTTTCAATTATTTAGGAAAATTATCACTAATTTTCTTTAATAACCTTTTCTTTTTAATTAAATTATTTTTAGATAATAATAATAATAATAATAATTTTTTTTTTGCCAAGGCAGTTACGGAAACCAACAGACTAGACGGACGCACCTGGATGAACACGAGAGGGGAGAATCCAAGATCTGGCCCGATCGCACGACTGTAAACCAAATCTCCATCGCGGTGCGAAATCTTGTCGTCATCGATTGAAAGCCACTCGTCGATCGTTTTTTCGCACTCCACTTCAACGATTCTCACTCCGCTATCATTACACTTGATAAACGGCCGATCGCGATCTTCGATCCTCCTCCGAATCCTTCCAGAAACGACGTAGTATATCTCCAGCAACGGAAACATAGGTTTCTTTAGGTCATAAATCGTCAAATTTCTCACCTCTTCGCTCGGCCTGAAGAAATAAACGCCGCGAATGTAATGAAGTTTCATCGCAAGATCGATCGCCGAAAGTTCATGGACCTTATTCTCGCCGGTCGCCTTCGCCGGTACCACGGACGAAAATTTCACTTCGGAAATTAGGTCGTTTCCGCTGCCGTCCATGAATCTCGCCGCCTGACGAAGAATAGAGAGAAATCGGAATTTTCGAGCGGTTTTCTGATGAAATTGGGCGTAGAAGTGAGAGAAGTTTGGAGGAGGAGGAGTTGAATTTATGGAAGACTGGAGAATGGCAGAGGCTTTTGTTGTGGTGAAGAAGATTCGCACGCATCCTTGCAGTTGGGAGAAGCCATTAATGAGAGCTTTTAATATGAACAAAGCAATTTGAAATGGATAGGGAAACTATATAATGGAAAGATGAGGAAGTTTATTGATTGAAAACACGGCTTACCTAGAGACGCATATCCGTTTTTAAGTTTAAATTACATTCTCATAAAGAAAACAGCGGAATTCAAACCTACCATTGCCTTTACACTAGAAAAATCATAAAGGAAAAAAAAAAGGCTTATTTATTTAAAATATAATAATATTAATTAAAATTTGAAAGTTTAAATATATTTTTTAAATAAAGTATTGTCCAGGTTCTTTTTTAAAATTTTAAAAATTTTAAAATATTTTGGAGATAAATTACAATTTTTATTTATATTTTTATTAATATAAGTGGTTAATAATTTTTTTTAAAAGCTAAATTAATAAATAAAAACTTTGTACTCCGTTTTAAAAATAATTTCAAATTTTTAAAAGTTTAAAAAATACCTTTAAATTATATATATATATATATATATATATATATATATATATATATATATATATATATATATGATATGAACCAAAAAATATTGATCATACAATATATTTCAATGAAGATGCGAAAAAAATGTTTTTGAAATTATCAAAAGATATTTCAATTCATGCCACATCAGAATGAAGTTTCATTGTTATAAATTTTTTGTGGATTATAATTTAGAGTTATTGTATTTCATTAATGTATTTTAAGACATTTTATTTACTTTAGGTTACATTTACATCATGGTTAATTATGACCATAAAGGGTGAATGTTACAACTTTTGAATGACTTTAATAGTTTCATTTTGAGAGTATATAAAACTAGGTATGTTGTATTTGTGAGTGAACTTGAAAAATAGAGTAAAATGAGCATTTGTGCTTTTCTTTAGCCAATGACTAAGTTTCTCTACAATTTGATGTAGTTTAGGTTGCATATAGAATCATTCAAGCTCAACATAACCAATTTTGCTTGTTGAGTGATTCGAATTTCAAACAAGTGTTCTTACGTTAAAATATTTGATCAATAAGAATCATTCAAGCTATATATGATCGATCTTGCTTGTGGAGTGATTCAAATCTCAAACAATATTCTTGCCTTGAGATATTAGATCAACAAGATAATCTGAATCTTACTCCTCTTGTAGTGATTTCCACATATCAATATATCTTATATACTTTTACCCATAGTTTAAGTTGCAGCTAGAATCATTCAAGCTCAACATAATCAATCTTGCTTGTGGAGTGATTCGAATCTCAAACAAGTGTTCTTACATTGAGATATTTGATCAATAAAAATCATTCAAGTTATACATGATCGATCTTGCTTGTAGAGTGATTCAAATCTCAAACAATGTTCTTGACTTGAGATATTCGATAAACAAGATAATCTGAATCTTACTTCTTTTTGAGTGATTTCCACATATCAATATATCTTATATATTCTTATCCATAGTTTTGAATGGAAACGGTTAGTATTTATTTAAAAAATATCATTAATTTTAAAAGTTAATGGTAGGAGTATTTTTTTTTTTTTTTTTTTATCGAAATTGAAAGTTACATTAAGAGCATTTATTTATTTATTTTAGTTTAAGGATGGTATTAAAATTTTTGAAATTTTATTAGTATTTTTTAAAAATTTATTTTGATTAAAAAAAACTTAATATTTGAGATTGAAACAAACATCTACGGTATTGAATTAATTGTAAGAATTAAATTCCTCACAAACGTATACACCGGTAAAAATTGAATGCTATGATCATTAACTCAATTTTAAAATGTACTTTAAATTAAATAAATAATAATAATAATAATAATAAAAGAGAATAAAATATTTATAGTTTTAGTTTTTCATTAAATAGGAAAAAGGGAAAAGGCACGACCTCAACGGTTTATAAACTTTTTTACAGGCAATATTCTTAAAAAACATTTTTTAATGCAACCATTTTTTTTTTTTTTTTTGTAATTATATTATATTATAATATTTTTTCATTAAAAATATATTAATTGCTTATAACTTAAATTATTAGTTAATAAAAAAAAAACATATATATATATATATATAAATGAAACCGACATAAATATACAATCATATAGTCAAGAGAGGTTAAGAAGTAGGTCACATTTCGTAGTTGTGCTGTTGGAAAGTGGACGAAATTAAGGGCAATTAAGATGAGATAAGTACATATTTTTAGATTCAAACATAAAAAAATATAAATTTTTTTTTGTCTTTTATTATTATTTTTAAATAATATACTTTCAAAATTTATAATTTGTTTGAATTTTTGTAAGTTTTTCAAAACGTCGGTTTATAATTAGTGGATAAAAAGTCGACATGACAATAATTTAAAACAACGCGAGAGTAACTAGAATAATTGTCAATATTAATTATGAATAAATGAGGTTTAGTCACCAATTTTGTTGTTCAACAATCTAATAAGATTTATATTTCAATAATAAATTTAAAACGTTATTTAATGTTAAGGTTGAACAGAGAACTCCGTGGGAACAAACGCCTTTGGTCTTAATCTTAAGCTGACCTTCGCCGTTCAGATGCATAGAATCTTGGGTCAGAGATGCCATGCACAGAAGAGTAAGCGCTTGAAGCCGAAGGATGATCCGAGGCGGGACTTGAGAGAAGCGATTCAATAGCACATGGAATAGCCCAGAGGGACAGAGAGGAGCCAAGCAGTGAGACAAGGAACCGGGCCGGGGACAAGAGAGGAGAGGCAATTCAATTCGAAGCAGCTTCACCAGAGAGTAAGTGAAAGAAAGAATAGTGAAACCATATTTTGGTTACATAGTTATATTTTACAAATATAGAGAACAAAGTTAATATTTTAAAAAATAAAAATAAAAAACTAAATAAATAAAAATATACTCATTTTTGTACTTCATATTATAAATATTTTTTAATTTTCAAAATTTCAACAGTATTTTTAAACTTCTTAAAAAATTCATAAATATTAAAAGTAGATTTATCAATTCTTTTTACTAATATTCTTAAAAAAAAAAAATCAATCTTAAATATACTATTAATTTTGGTTTTAAAATTTTTAAAATATTTAATAGTATTAATACAAATTTAAAATTTTTAAATTTTTTTTAACAATTTTTCTCCAAAAGTTTATTGATATTTTTTAAATAAAGTATAAAGTAATATATATATATATATAACCTAAAATAGAGACAGGATAAATTTGGTGTCCTAACGAATGGAGCGTTAATGGATGGATGGAGTTGGTTTCCTAAATAGATACGTGTTTGAGACGATTTAATATCCCTTTTTCTTACTTTTTATTAAATAAAACAAATTATTTTTTTTGCAAATACTGGTTTTATTGCTTGTACACGTGGAGAAGGTAGCTTGTAGAAACTAAATGTTGACAAGTATGGACTTTTATAAACCAAATTATTGGACCTATGATTTTATGACACTGCTTACTAGAAGGATGAAACTTATATAATTATTGTTTGGAGTATAGGAGGCCATACAATAAAGTGCATCTATTTCACTAAAATAACTGTGATTTAATTTAATTTAATTTAATTTAATTTAATTTAATTTACTTATTTTCGTTGATCGGAATGAAGGCAAAGTAGGGATAGATTAGGGCGGAGGCAAATTATATTTTTCGTCTCTACCTACTCTACTCTACTTTCTATTTATTTATTTATTTAAGTAGATAAGTAATATTGAAATTTGAGTTTTTTTACCAATTAAATTAAACCCTATAAATATTTTTCTTATATAAAAAATATATTAAGAATTGAGAGAGAAATTTTCATGATTCTGTAAAAATAAATGAAGAATTTTGCGAAGTCGGGATCAAGAAAACTTTTTATTAAACAAATATTTATTATTGAAATCATTTGTTATACTACATAGAAATACAGAGTTTTAAATATTATGAAAAATAACCTATTATTAGGTTTTATCGTTATTTTTTTCTATATTTTATTTAATTTTAATTTTTACTTTTTAATTATTTGTTTGAGTTCAAGAACAAGTGGTGTGAAAATATAAACCTATACCTGCTCGAACTAGTCGAGGTAAGGGTCTACATCTAACCCGGTAACCGGACCAACCCAACCCGAATGGATTAGTAGTTGGGTTGAGTTGGGTCGTTTCAAAAATACATTTACAGGCTCCGGAGCCGTTTAATGGGCTGGGCTAAATTGAAGTAGATACGGCCCATAGTTTGTGTTGGGCCGAGTTGTAGTGGGCCATGGCGCGGACCAACTCGTCCATTCAATCTCCTGCTCTCCCGGGTTTTGACTCGAATACGAAAACGAAGCTTCATATAAAATTTATCGCTCTCTCTCTCTCTCTCTCTCTCTCTCTCTCTCTCTCTCGATTTTCGCTTAATGTTACAACTTCATCTTCTGCAGAGGCGCTAATTTCGATCCTTCCGAAGAATACTGCACTGCACCGAAAATGCACGGACGGCCGCGCAAGCCTCAGAAACCGGAGGAAGAAGAGGCTTCGGCGGCGGAAGCCGCCAAGCTTCGTCCTCTGCAATCTCAATTGCTCGAAAATCACCACCAAAAGAAGTATAATATTTGACTTGCTTATCAATGTTCCGTGTTTCAGTAACGGTTTAGGTGTTTCTGTGATTTGATTTTTGGATTGATCGTTGCAGCTATGATAAGGAAGCCCTAGAGGTTAGTGCTAAGGTGCTGGAAATGAATCCGGATCTGTATACGGCTTGGAACTATAGGAAACTTGCGGTCGAACACTACCTGAAGGAATCTCCATCAGATACCGAGTCGATCAAAGCGATCCTCGATGAGGAACTCAGAGTAGTAAGTTGTCATTTGTCGTCGCTGGATTTGAAGCTCTTTGTTCAATTCTCGACTAGGCTTTTGCTTTTAGTTAATCGGTCTCAAGATGTCGTTTCGTTAATCCGTTTGGTTGGCTCAACGCTGCTGTTGATTGTTAGTACGAACTACTGATTAGGTTCCGTCAATTCATCTAATGTAGGCTGAAAGTGCACTGCGTCAGAACGTCAAGTCCTACGGCGCGTGGTATCATCGAAAATGGATCTTGAGCCAGGGGCATTCATCCACCGATCTTGAGTTGCGTCTTCTTGGAAAATTTCAAAAGCTCGACGCTAGGAATTTTCACGCATGGAACTACAGAAGGTTAACATCTACTTGCATTCTCCTTGTCCAATCCTTCTAGGCCGATAGCCGCTGTTTACTTGACCATTTTGGATGTATTAGTTCATATATTTCTTTGTCCGTTTATCAGATTTGTGGCAGAGTTAACGAACATATCCGAGGAAAAAGAGTTGAAGTATACAACAGATATGATAGACACAAATTTCAGCAATTATTCAGCATGGCATAATCGCAGGTATAGCCTACGTAATCCTCAGTTGAAAATTTTATCTGTAAAAGATTTAGGACCAGTTGTGCTGGCTCATCCTGCTCTACTTGGTCATAAAGTTCAACTATCCAAGGAAGACATTGCCGATGTTTCCTTTTTTAGCGGTAATTCAGATTTACGCATTACAATTCTCAACTGATTTAACGTTTGTCTTAATTCTAATAACCATCTGATGAACGTGGCAAGGACATTATTGTGTTATGTAAACGTTAAAGCCACATAAAAGTCACCTCAAGTCTTCTATAAGCCATTTTATTTGGAAAACTAGTGTATATAAAGATTACATTTTATGGAATTTTCTAGACTTTCACTTTTCTTCTCAGTGTTTTTTCTGTCGAAAGTTTTAGTTATCTTCAACTGTGTCGTAAGTATAAATTCATTGATGTCACTTCCACCTTGTAGTGCGCTTCTTGCTAAACTGCTGAACAAAAAGGCTGAAAGTTATTTCCCAGCGGAAAAGGTGTTAAATGAGGAGTATGAGCTCGTGCACCAAGCTATTTTCACTGATCCAGATGATCAAAGTGGTTGGTTTTATCATCTTTGGCTTCTGGACCAAACGATAAAATCAAATGCTCCAAGTCTTGTTTCCTCTTGGCCACCTCATGGTTACAGAGTGGCGTTATCAAGAAATAGAAGTCTGGATGATCAAACCCTATCTCCATCTAGAAGCTTCCATTCTGATTCAGAAACGTTGGCTCTCATTCTTTACTTCGATCAGCCTGTTCAAGGTGTCGACTCATCTTCAGTGAGTGTTAAATCTACAGCTCATTTAAGAGGAGATCTTATTTGGAAACCACTCTCAAAATGTAGCCATGATGCTGCCAAAGCTTGGGTTAGTCATCTTAGTTTTCCTCAAGGAGAGATGAATTCTTCTGAATCTTACTCTGTGGAAGTCAGTCTTGGAAATTCTCAGAAAATAACATCAGCAAGTGGTTTTCATCATGTGAAACCAACTTGTTTTTCTTTTGGAGTGTCTGTGCATTTAGGAGAAACACCTATTGAAGAATGTGGTAATGAAGGGATCTGGTGGAAGGATGAAAACTTTACTAGTTGCGGCATTAGTCCTCAAACTTTACCATTTGCTTCTTCCGATAATCTAACCATTGAGAATAATTATGCACCTTCTAGTTCTGAATGGTGTGCTGAGATTATAAGCAATGAAATAGCTCTTTTCCGAGAATTATTGTCCGAGACTGAATGGTATACTCACTGTTCACTCCAGTTCTTTTGCATATTTTATTATTTTATACTGTTCATAAATCACATCTTTCTCATTTTAATTTTCCGCTTCTTTGTAGTAAAATTGGTAAGCTCACTCTTGCAAGATTTCTGATGGCTCATGTTGCAACATCTCCACATGCCAATAAAGTGGCCCAACTTGAGGAAGTGCTTGAACTTTACCTGGACCTGATGAAGTTGGACCCAACACATTTTCATTACTACAAGGATGAACACAGCTCAGTTTTATTGCAGAAGGTGATTAACCATTTCTTGTTATCAACTAATGGAAATTTATACTTCTTTTGTCTATGATATTGATAATGATGTCCCTTATGCCACCAGGGACTAGAATCTGTAACTTCACACTTGTTTTATGTTTCCCTTTGTGACATTAAATTATATATCCTTGGAATCTTTACCTTTTCCATGTGCTTAAATGAGAACTTACTATGGTGTATTCGACAGGAAGAGTGACTAATACTTTGGTTTCTTTGCAGGTGACATCGACTACGGAGTCTTTGTTTAGACACTGCTATTGCTACAAAGACCAGACCTCACCGTATTTAGGCACTACTACCTGTGTAAGGCTCAATAATTTATCAATTTCACGGATTGGATCTGTTGAAAAATTACTATGGGTTCAAGTGCTGGACCTCAGCCATAACGAACTCCGTTCAACTGAAGGTATACTTTTCTACTTGGCTTATACAATAAGCGGAACTAATTGTTGTTGCACTTTCCTGCGTTATCTATGGTCATTATATGCCATCAAATTTATTCGTGTAATTTGATTGGAAAACCATGCGAAGTTCGTAGTTGACCATCCAAGTTGGTCTAAATATAGGACATTGGCATCCAAATTGGTCTAAATATTAGTACGGTTGGTGCATGCAACCTGACTTGGACTCTCACAGATATTAAAAGCATTTCAAATTTATAAGTTGAAACAAAAATCTAGTTGCATGTTGTGGGTTTGATTAATTATTTGGGGATACAGTTATGTTGATATGATTGAGAAATTTGATCTTGATATTGCAACATATTAAATTTCTACTTTTTTTTTATGTCATATGACCCTTGGACAGGATTGGAGGCCTTGCAGCTTCTCTCTTGCTTGAGTTTGAGCAACAATAAAATCGGTAGTTTTACCGCATTGGAGTCTCTAAGAACGTTGAAGTCCTTGAAAGTTTTGGATGTCTCGTGCAACGAGATTGGTTCGCATTCGATCGACACCACAAGATATCTCTTCTCATCTCCCCTGTCTCATTCCGAAGAAAAAGAAAATGATCTGAGCAGTGATAAAATGGTCACTGATAGCCCCGACCTGGCAAGTTACTGGGAAGCTTATTTTCTATTCAAAGATCTGAACTTGACTCAATTAGATATTGAAGGAAACATGATATCTAGTGAGAGGTTTCAGGCATTTCTGGTTAAGGTTCTTCCCAAACTCCACTGGCTTGATGGCAAACAAGTACAATAGATGAATTTAGTTTATCTGCATCCGATTCTCTCCGCTTTGATAGTTCATCTTCCGAATGTATAAACGTCTGCTACGAACTATCCTTGATCCTCAAGGTACCAACCATGGGCAAAGCATCATTTTCTTTCCAACACAACCAAGGATCCGCCATTACATCCAGCAAGCATTCAAATTATTCATTACATCCAACAAGCACTCAAATTATTGTATGATTCTGGCGACCGTTCAACGATTTGGATTTGAATTTACCGACGGCTGACACATCTCCGAGAGCTCGAAACATGGAAATGAATTTGGTACTCACTATTTTAAATTTTGTTTCAAACTCCATTATCATCCTTGTTTCACTTGCTCATTTATACATCATGGTGTGGCAGTGTGTCAAATGGCTGTGCTCTACTTTAAGTCACACCATACAAATTTCTTCATCATGTATTTGGAGAACCGTTCTATTCCTTGTTATGCCAAAATTTTGAAGAATCCTAATTCAATAATATATAATATGTTGAGATATATGTAGCATGCAGGCACGATTTGGTTGAAGTGAAACAAACAAGACCACCAACGGAGGATATACTCATTTGACTCGATGGAAGATTTCGAAAGGAATACACAAAGAACGGACCGAAGTAAGTGCTTTGGACCGTTGCATTATTTATTTGATCAGAATTTACTTTTTATTATCTAAACCTCTTTCGTTGTTGGTTAACGTTTTGCTTTTTATTTCCCCCCCC